CAAACTACCCTTCAAAAATCCGGATTACACTTTCCTTATTTGAACAATCCAACCTCCAATGGGCATATCTCACTCATACGAACTTGGAATCGTGGAAACTCAGCGACGTTGGAAATATAATTCGAAGTTCTTTCCTACCGTATCTGGAAGCACACCTAACTCATCCTGAGCTAGGAGTTATAGTCATTTTGAAATAACCATAAACTCAAACTTAACTTAACTAAACAAATTTCTAGATTTTCATTCTTTCCAAAAATTACTCTTTCTAATTCTAGCTCTTTCTAGTTACGAGGTGTTACAATATCTCCCCCTTGGGAACATTCTTCCTCGAATGAGATACCGTATCTGGAAGCACACCTAACTCATCCTGAGCTAGGAGTTATGGTCGTTTGAAGTTGACCAAAAACTCAAACTTAACATAACTTAACAAATTTCCATATTTTTCATTCTTTCCTAAAATGACTATTTCCAACTCTAGCTCTTTCTAGTTATTTCAATTAGCGATATGTTACAATTAAATTATGAGGTTTTGATTGTTGAATTATGAGGTTTTTCAATAAATCAAGTTTTTAACTAAAATGGAGTTTGTGAAGTGATTTTAAGTCATATTTCGAAATGATTTCCCCTAATGAGTTACTAAAGCCTTGAGTAATGTAAAACAAGTATTGATTTTTAGAGTCAAACCTTAATTTTGGAATTGGGTATTGTGTTGATTAACCCACCTTTCAAGGGAATTTTTTTGGTGTTGTTGTTTTCGTAAGTGATTGTGAATACTTGTTTGTGCATAGATTGTGTGGTTTTGGAAGTGATTCAGAAGGGGAAGACTCAACTATTGGAGTACTGATTGTTGATTGATTAAGGCAAGTGGCTTCCTCAACCTCTTATTCTTGTTGAATTTGTATGCTTCCTTCATTGATTGTGTGTTGGGAGTAATGGGGATGAGGTGAAAGGTTTAAATTGTCCATTCGTTATATCTAAATGAATAAAAAGGGGCTGAAATGAAAAAGGCCATGTGATAAACATGATGATGTGAATTGTCTTATTGTGACCATTGTTGATTTATTAATGAAGTGCTTGAAAGCATGATTGTGGACATGAATTGTATGATTTGCTGTCTCTTTCATGTTGTGTGATATCACTTGTATGCATTGATTGTGAACCCCATGATGAGACATGTGCTAATTTATTATGCCGAGGTCTTTTTCGGCGAGTGTTATTATGCCGATGTATTTGTGAGCGAGTGTTATCATGCCGAGGTCTTTGTCAGTGAGTATTATTATACCGAGGTCTTTGTCGTCGAGTGTTATTATACCGAGGTCTTTGCCGGCAAGTGTTATTATACCGAGATCCTTATCGGCGAGTGTTATTATGCCGATGTCTTTTCGACGAATGTTATGATACCGAGTTCATTTTTTGCAAGTGTTTATAAAGCCGATAGGAAATGATTTCGGCTAATGATGTTATATAAAGTTGATGGGAAATGGTTCCAGCAAGATATTGATCATTGTTACTTGATGCATTTGATGGTTATGCGTGACTTGCTTTGTGAATGTGATCGGTGTACTTGTTATGTGTAACTGAACTACTTGACATTGAAATTTACTCATTTGATTTGTTGATTGTTGAATTGTTCAAATTGAACTTTGGATATTAGGCCTGTAAGCCGTGCATTATAGAATTGCCAAGTTGGGCTAATTTCTGTGCAGGTTATAGTTTGAGGAGGTTCGGTTGGAGTGTAAGGGGTATTCGTTTTTGAGCTAGTTGCTTTGTTTAGTATATTGTTTGTTGGGTACCATTTTGTTGGTACTCACTCCTTCATACTACACTTGTGTAGGTTTCGAGTCCAGACCCGTATGATCTTCTTCTTCTTCTCCTGATAGTTGAAGCCCGTGAAGGATTTAAGAGATAACTCCTTGTCATCCTGGCAGACCCTCTTTTCCTTTTTGTTTTAAGCTCTGTTCTACTTGACTAACAAATACCAAGAGTTTTTTATATTTTTAAATTTTGTATTTTCATTAGTGTCTTGTACACGTAACAACTAGGTTTTGGGGTGTTTTTTAGAATGAATAAGGTTTTTGCCTTTGTCTTGTTCTTGCTTTACTATTTTCCGCATTTTCTTCCTTTTCATTGGGTTGAGGCTGACTTGTCTTGGTGGGAATAGACAAGTATCACCTTGTCCATTTTTTGGTCGTGACAAAATGGTATCAGAGCCTAAAGTTCATAGGTATCACGTGAGTACAAGCCAAGTCTAAGTGGAGTCTTGAGGATCAGAGACGTCTATACTTATCTTCAAGCGGCTATAAAGATTGTTAGTAAACTTTTTCTTATTCATCCTTTCTTATTTGCGTGGTTACCTTCGCTAGCGCTGGATTTCCACGTGTTGTTTTGACAGATGCCGAGGACTAGAGCTTCTATTTCCACTAGTAGAGAGGAGGCAGTCCCTGACCTTATTTTTGAGGCCCAGCTAGGGGTAGAGGTAGGGCTCGAGCTAGAGGTCGTGCTCGTGGAGTAGCACCAGGTATAGGTTGTCCCCGTAGAGCGGTACCAACCAGAGGTACAAATAGAGATGCTTCTCCTGAGCCACATGTTGTGGTTGCTGAGGACAAGGTTCGTCCAAAGTTTAGAGCTTCTTTGTTTCAAGATATTTTGTTGAGGATGGTAGGTGTGTTAGAGAACCTTTCTCAGGGTACGCCATAGGGTGCTCAGACGAGGGTAGGGGTGCAGACTCTAGGTCAGCAATAAATTTTGGGTATTTATGTTTAGGTGGGCCAAATGCCAGTGGTTCTTGCACCGACTATTGGTGCACAGATTACTCCCGAGGTTATTCTGATAGCGGATGATCAACAATGTTATCAAAGGTTTCAGAAGATGAAACCACCACAGTTTCAGGGTGGTAAGAGAGATGATGCTCATGAGTTCTTCACTTTGTGGCATGAGATGCTTGAGGCTGTAGGTATGGTGGATGCTCGTGGTGTCCAGTTTGGTGCACTTCATCTTCGTGGTCGCTCCAGAGAGTGGTGCAGGACTTTTGTGAGGTCTAGACCAGTTGGATCTCTCCGGGCAGAGTAAGATGTGTTTTCTAGTGCTTTACAGGACCACTTCATTCCTTGGAGCCTGAGAGAGGAGAGTTGTCTGAGATTTGAGAGCTTTGTTTAGGTTGGTTTATCTATGACCAAGAATGAGGTCCGTTTCTCTAAGCTTTCTAGGCATGTTATGACTATTGTTTTGGATGAGGAAGAGAGTGTTCACCAGTTTGTGAGAGGGTTAACTTTCTCCGTGAGATCCTATGTGTTTAGGGCAGCCAAAGAGGGGACTTCCTTCCAGTCCATTGTGAGAACCGCCAAGTAGGTGGAGTTGATGGTTTTAGATGAGTTTAGGGATCCCAAGATGACCCATTCTTCTGGTTAGTTTTTAGTGCCTCATCTAGAGGTAGAGGATCGCATAGAGGTAGTGTTTCCTTCTAGCATCGTAGACCGGTTCATGCTTCTATGCCAGCAGCTGAGAGTGGACTGTCAGTCCGATGATCTTATGGTTTTGGTCGAGGTAGCTATGTTAGCTCGTCTAGTTTGCAACATCAGTTATCCGTGTTGAGATCTTACTTCACTTGTGGGGATCCAGGTCGTATGATGTGATAGTGTCCCCTTCAGACTCATTCAAAACCTAAGTGTTCCTATTTAGCTGCTCAAGATAGAGATTTAGCTTCTCTGTACAGGGGTCGAGGTAGGGTTCAGTCCGGTAAGGTGGCAAGACTACTGGAGAGGTACTCCAGCTCCGCAGAGTGGAGGTAGAGGTTATACTCAAAATGCATGCGACCGAGATGGCCAGTGTTATACTTTTCCAGTGAGGCTTGAGGCTGAGACTTCTGATGTTGTGATCACATGTATCATCCAAGTTTTTCCTAGACTTGTGTCTATATTGTTTGATCCGGGTTCTACTTTCTCATTTGTGTCTACCTATTTTGATGTTGGGTTTGATATGATGTTTGATTTCATTCTTGTTCCTATTCATGATTCTACCCAGTAGGTTAATCCATAGTGGTGGATCGAGTGTATCGATCCTATGTTGTTTCATTGTCTAGGTATGACACTTTGGTAGACCTAATACTTTTAGGAATGGTACACTTTGACATTATCTTGTGTATGGATTGACTTTCTACGCATCATGCTATTCTTGAATGTTATGCTAAAATTGTGACTTTAGCGATGCCGGGTGTTCTGAGAGTTGAGTGGACAAGTGCTAGCGGTTCTTACCCTAACAAATATATCTCCTTTATTACAGCTCAGAGATTGGTTGATAGAGGGTGTTTGTCCTACTTAGCTTTCATTCGAGATACTAGTGTTGATACACCTCCCATGGATTCTAAGCCCGTGGTTCGAGAGTTTGTAGATGTATTTCCTACTAATTTTCCAGGTGTTCCTCCGGATTGGGATATTGATTTTGCAATTGACTTGGAGCGGGGCACCAAGCCTATCTCTATTCCTTCTTATCGTATGGCTCCAGCTGAGTTGAAGGAATTGGAGGATCAGTTGCAGGATTTGTTGAGTAAGGGGTTTATTCGCCGTAGTGGTTCTCCATGAGGTGCTGGTTTGTTATTTGTGAGGAAGAAGGACAGATCCATGAGGATGTGTCTTGATTATCGATAGTTGAACAAATTGACAGTGAAGAACAAGTGCCCTCTTCCTTGTATTTATTATTTTTTTGATCATCTTAGGGTACATCACTGTTTTCTAATATTGATTTGAGATTCGATTATCACCAGTTGAAGATTAGGGCATCAGATATCCCTAAGATAGTTTTTAACACTCTTTATGGGCACTATGAGTTTCTTGAGATGTCTTTTGATTTGGCTAACACCCCTGCAACGTTCATGGAGTTGATGAATGTGGTGTTCCGACCTTATCTGGATTCCTTTGTGATAGTGTTCATTGATGACATCTTGGGTGTACTCCAAGACTGAGGAGGATCACAATTGACATTTGAGGATTATACTCTAGAGATTGATGGAAGAGAAGCTTTATGCCAAGTTCTCAAAGTGTGAGTTTTGGCTTGATTCTGTGGCCTTTTTGGGGCATGTGGTGTCCAAAGAAAATTTTCAACTAGATCCACTCAAGATTGAAGCAGTGAAGGGTTGGACCAGACCTACATCGGTACTAAGATCTAGAGTTTAGTAGGACTCGCGGGCTATTACCGACGATTGGTCTTCTCTACCATTGAATCTCATTTGACATGATTAACTTGGCAGAGTGTGAGTTTCGAGTGGTCTGATGAGTGTGAGGAGAGCTTTCAAAATCTCAAAGACCCTGTTGACTCGGCTCTTGTTTTGACCTTACCCAAGGAGGGTTTGGACTTCACCGTGTACTATGATGCTTCAGGAGTCAGATTAGGTGGTGTTCTGATGCAAAAAGGCAAAGTGATTGCCTATACCTCTAGATAGTTGAAGACCCATAAGAGGAATTACGTTACCTATGATTCGGAGTTGGCAGTCGTAGTGTTTGTGCTTAGCTATGGAGACATTATTTGTACGGGGTTCATTGTGAGATCTTCACAGATCATCTGAGCCTTTAATATATTTTCTGTCAAAGAGATCTAAACTTGAGGCAACATAGATGGATTGAGCTACTAAAAGACTATGACATCACCATCTTGGACCATCCAAGGAAAGCCAATGTGGTGGCCGATTTTTTGAGTAGGAAGAATCTAGCATGGGAGTATTGCCACTATTAGTGTGGAGGAGAGACCATTTGATAGAAATGTTCAGAGGTTAGCCAATAGTCTCGTCCGATTACGGGTTTCTGAGGAGACAAGTGTTCTGATTACTTTTATTGAGGTTTGTTCTTCCTTAGTTGAGAAGATTAGTGAGCGTTAGTTTGACGAAGAGAAAATATGTCTCATTCTAGACAAAGTGATGAGAAGGGAAGACAAGGAGGCTGTCCTTGATTCTGATGGTGTCTTGTGGATTGGAGGCATGATTTATGTGCCTAAGGTGGGTAAGTTTATCAGACTGATTCTTGAGGAGGACCATTAATCCCGATTTTCCATCCATCCGTGTACGGTGAAAATGTATCATGAACTGAGCCAACACTATTGGTGGTGTGGTATAAAGAGGGATATTACATATTTTGTTACAAGGTGTTTAAATTGCCAACAAGTCTAGTGTGAGCACCAGTGGCTAGGAGGTCTATCTCAGAGGATGATGATTCCTACTTGGAAGTTGGAGTGGATCACTATGGATTTCTTTGTGGGACTACCTGCCACCGTGGGTGGCTATGAATATATTTGAGTGGTTGTTGATAGGTTGACCAAGTCCACCCATTTTATCCCGATTCGAGTGAAGTATACTGTGGAAAAGTTAGCAGAGATTTATATCAATAAGATTGTGCGATTGCATGGAGTCTCGGTTTCTATTGTCTTCGATCGAAGCTCCTTGTTCACTTCTCATTTCTGGAAGGCATTATAGTATGGTTTGGGTACTCGGTTAGATATGAGTACAACTTTCCATCCTCAGACAGATGGTCTGTCCGAGCGGAAAATTCAGGTGTTGGAGGGCATGCTCCAAGCTTGTGTGATTGATTTTGGTGCTAGATTGGATCAACATTTTCCCTTAATAGAGTTTGCCTACAACAACAGTTATCATTCAAGTATTTAGATGGCTGATTTTGAGGTGTTGTATGGCAGACGATGTAGATCTCCGATTGAATGGTTTGATTCAGCGGAGATGGATTCATTAGATACAGCCTGGCTTAGAGATATTATGGAGCATGTTCATATGATCTAGGGTAGACTGTTGACAACCTAGAGTCGACAAAAGATTTATGCGGATCAATGAGTTTGAGCCTAAGTATTCATGGAGGGTGATTATATTTGGCTTTGAGTGTCGCCCGTGAAGGATGTGATGAGGTTCATAAGGAAGGGCAAGCTTAGCCCTAAATTCATTGGACCGTTGAGATTTTGAGTCATGTGGTAGAGGTGGCCTATAAGTTAGTCTTGCCACCTAGCTTGTCAATTGTGTATCATGTGTTTCATGTTTCCATGCTTTGGAAGTACGTGACAATGAGTCCTATGTACTTTCCCTTGATTCAGTTGAGTTGGGTTGATGCTTATCTTTTGAGGAGGAACCTTTAACCATTTTTGATAGGCAGGTCCGGAAGCTTAGGACCAAAGAGATTGCTTACGTGAAGGTGCAGTGGAAGCATAGTTCAGTTGGTGAGGTGATTTGGGAGACAGAGTCTGATATGCGTGCCAGATATCCTCAGCTTTTCAAAGTTCTAAGTACTTTCTTTTGCTTTATGTTCTAGGACGAAAATGGTTTTTAATGGTGGATAATATAATGACCCAGTCGGTCAGTTTTTTGTTTTTCCATGGAAATTTTTGTTTTTCCCTCCCGTGATTGACTCCAAGTATCCTATGATTAAGTTTTAAAAAGTTGGCTTGAACTTTGATTTCAAAGTTGAGAATTTGGTAAGTTTTGAGTTTGAAAGGCTAAGTTATTAAGAAAGTAATTTTAGGTGTCTTTTGTGGTTTCGAGTGTCAGAAAGAATTCCGTTGATTCCATAAGTACAAAAATGTGAAATTTGTTTGTTTCTGATTCCATCCTTTTGAGTATTTGAGGTCCTTTGTTGTGAAATTATGGAATTTTAGCCTTTGGGTTGACTTTGGTCAACATTCAAGGTTCGAATGCTCAGATCGGGATTCCGAGAGTTTCGTTGGATCCAGAGGGAACATTCGAGTTTTGGATGCTCAGATCAGAATTCTGAGAGTTTCGTTGGATCCAAAGGGATGATTTTAAGCCTAGTTGAGGTTTTGGTTGATATTTTACCGGTCCTGAGCTTGTTTTAGCATTTTTAGGCGTGAGTTAGTTTCTTGTGGTTTTCACGGATGGTGGGTTGAGGAGACCTAAATCCTAGAGTTAAGTTTTAATTCCTCAAAATAACATAAATCTAATGATATTCATATAATGTAATACTCTTATATTTAATTGGATATACTAATGTATCAAGCTAGAGTAATTATATAATGTGATGATTATAAAATATATATTTTTTAAAAGGAAGAAAACAGTATGTTAACACCATGGTTCACGATAATAATATATTTTCTCTTGTTGCATAGCTAAAACCTACCAATGCCTCAATCATTTGGCTATTATTAGCCAATAATTGAGTTGAAGGTTTGTCCCCCCAAAACCCCAAAACATTGCAATCATTATCAATTCCCACCTTTTTGTTCCAACCCAATTAACATAACTACAATACAATTTTTATCTCATTCCAAATCTAGCTATAGGATATTAAATATTATCTAATACTTATTTGAATGTGTAGTTTTTGGTTCCCACGTCGGTCACCACTCTATTTCCCTCTTTATTTTTTTCTAAATTAATTATATACTAAAAGTGACAAATCTTACTAATTTATTTTAACATATATGGGCCAAATGGTATAGGGTTTATTTTTTAAGACGGCCCATTCTTATCAACTAAATTAATTACCTAAAAATAACCCGTCAATTAATTAACTATATTTAAATGAATAGTTCAAAATTTTCAAAAATGACCTTCTGGATTATTACAGAAAAACACGTTGAAGCATATAAAACATTTCATTACTTTCTTTCCTTGTGTTTTCAGTAGAGTAATTTTGTAAGGGAGTTGGTGTTGGAAAACACTTGTGTGAACTCTTTCTTTAGAGTGAGCTAGTGAAGTTATTCTCTTCGGTATTTGAAATTAATTAGAGTATATACCAAAATTTATCATAAATTTTATTTAGCAATAAACAATTAAATAATTTTTGTTAGCTATGAGCAACTTAACAATTCCATTAATAGAAACTTCTAATTATTATTGTTTTATAGTGAATCGTGTGTGAATTCTAATATTTTGTAACTTATGATTCATTTTCACACACACGCAAGCATGCATGCATGCACGCACGCACGCACACACACAGACGCATGCACACACGCACGCATGCACGAACGCGCATACGCACACACGCACACACATCTGTTGGTTCAGTTCAGTTTTACGTATTATTGGTTCGATTTATCAATATTTGATTTTTAATACGCAAAATCAATATCCAAACCAATATGATTTTTTTAATCATTTTCAATCTATCGAGTTTTGATCCGTAACAGTTTGATTTTCAATTTAACCAATGAGAAAGCGCTCATAGAATAATCATGTCTTCTCTAACAATTTATCGCAAAATTCGATTTATTTGTGTTTGTATGTTTCCGTTCTCTCTTATTCTCTAATGTCTATATAGTTATTCAAACTTTGGTTGTTAATTGTGAAATAATTTTTAAATTAAAAATTAAAGTTTTACTTAAAATATAAATAGATAATATTTTAAAAATTGTTATAAAATATACCTCTATTTTTATTAATATATTATACTACCCTTTAATGACACTGAAGGTCAATTTTGGAAATTTTCATAAAATTACCATTTTACCCCTCCCGATATTGATCCCAAGTTAATTCTAATTGGATTTTGTAATTTGGTTCAAGCTTTGAGTAGAAAGATTTTAGTTATGAAAGTTTTTGGTTTAAAAATGCTAAAGTTGTTAAAAAGTGATTTCAGTGTCTTTTGTAGTTTCACGTGTCGGAAAGAAAGTTTTTTGATTCCATTAGTTTTGGAATGTGGAAATTGGTCTAAGAGAGTTATCAGTTACAAATTTTGAGTCTTTTTATGGATTTGACGTCCTAAGTCAAAACTTTGTGAAATTTTAGCCTTTGGATTAACTTTAGTGATTTCAGTGTCTTGCAAAGTTTGAAGGGATTTTCTGTGCTAGATCAGTTGGGTATGTGTTCTTGATCCTAAACCTTCATTTTCCATTGATTAATTAGGAGTTTTAACATCAAAATATGAGGTTTTGATTGGTGAAAGATGAGGTTTATCAAGAAACCAAGTTCTTCACTAAAACGGAGTTTTGAACTGATTTTAAGTCCTATTTCGATATGAGTTTCCCTAATGAGTTCCTAAAGCCTTGAGTGACGTTTTCAAGTATTGAATTTCGGATTCAAACCTTAATCTTGGAATTGGGTATTCTGTTGATTGACCCATCTTCCAAGGAAATTGTTGTGGGTGTTGTTATTTTTGGAAAGTGATTGTGAATACTTACATGTGCATAGATTGTGTGGCTTTGGAAGTGATTCGGAAGGGGAAGACTTAACTATTGGAGTAATTGTTGATTGTTAAAGGCAAGTGGCTTCCTAAACCTTGTATTCTAGTTGAATTTTATGTTTCCTTCGTTGATTATGTGTTGGGAATAATGTGGATAAGGCGAAGGGTTTAAATTGTCCACTTGTTATATCTAAATGAATAAAAAGGGGTTGAAATGAAAAAGGCTATGTGATGAACACGATGATGTGAAATGCCTTATTATGACCCTTATTGATTGATTGATAAAATGCTTATAAACATGATTGTG